TGCAATATAACAAAGAGTAAAAAATTTAAGGGGGTCTGAATACTTTCCGTACCCACTGTGTATATATAACAATTATTTGACTAATCAAAAAAATGATCGTTAAATTATTCGACAGAAAAATAATCGTTAGCAACAGCCCTAAAACTAACGAATCGGTGCATCATCATCATTGGAGCTGTAAGAGTGATCGAGGTCTTATTGTGACCAAAACTGTCAGCTTTGACAGACTCAAATCACCCCTGTTGATATAGCTGCTTTGTTAATAAAAAGTGTAGGCCAAAGATCAAATGAGAATTTTTTAGCTCTGTGTCCAGGTATGATCACTCAGCAATGTTTGAGCTAATAAACAAAAATTATGACATAGGAGTCCATTAGGTGTTCAGAGCTACCAGTATATTAACACATATATTAAATGATTGTAGCATATGGCTGCAATATAACAAAGAGTGAAAAATTTAAGGGGGTCTGAATATTTTCCGTACCCACTGTATGCAAGTTCAGGTCTGAGTTTACATTTGTAGCCTACTAAAGCTAATGTATCTTATTTCCTAAAGAGATAAGTTATCTTCAATATGGAAAGTGGCCAGAACCTGTCATTATTAAAAACGTTATAACTGGAGTATTCAATTAAGACGAAGGTGTAGATGTAATTTTAAGATTTTTTTTTAACAACGTTTTGTGGAAAATCCTTTAGGACTCAAATGATTATTCAAAGCAGAGGATTTGTATGTAGCCTATATTTGAAATGTCTGGGAATATCTTTAAATAAAACTTTTCTCAGAATACTCTATAAACTAGATGCAATGGGTGGGATCCCAGACGAGATCGGTTTGACACTTCCTTATAAGGAAAACAGCCAACTTGTCCCGGGACAGAAGGAGGACCAACAATCCCTTGGAGAGTTTGATTTGTAACGCACGTCTTTACAGAGTCGGTGGGCCGACCGCCAGCTGTCAAACACCGCTCTCCCTAGCTGTCCCCGTACCACAAAACGAGCAGCGCTGATCCGCTGGGAGGCGAGGTGACGTCATGTGGGAAATTCTTGGTTTCCAGCCAGGGACCATCCTGCTGTTATTTATGTAGTGAGACATTTAGGAAGTTGCTCCATCGTCTTTTCTTTGACTTTTAGAACAGTTGTGTTAAGTTTGTACGTTATTTAGCCGAAATATCTTAGTGACAAAATGTCCTTCGTCCCAGGACAGCCGGTGACTGCTGTTGTGGTAAGTTTGGGAGCGGGTCTGCTTCAATTCAGCCGGAGTCG